CCAGGTCAAATTTCATAATGAACGTTGCATGGTCATTGGCGACTACTGTACTTTTGCGTTATAGAGTCAATTTGCTGCGAAAGAGAAGGAGAGGGATGAAGCAAAGCTAGAGAAGAAAGCCTATGCCAAGAGTATGAAGAGGCCATGAGGAAGCTGCTTGAGAAGCAATTATTCAAATAACTTAACTTTTAGAAACAAAAATGCGCGCGATAATTAAAATGAAAAATATATCCAACAGGAAACAAGAACTGCACAAATTGCTGGACTGCGCAAAATGCGGAACTACGCAAAGAACTAAACTAAAATAAAGCTAAACTAACTAGGCTAAAACCAATCTAACCTAAACTCTTACTAATAAAACTAAAAGTAACTGCAGGACGCTAAAGGTTTCCGTGTGGGGAGTACAATGTGGATGGACTGCGTCCTAACTTTGTAGTGAAAAAAACATGCTTACTACTATGAAATTAGTAGGCAGTTGTGCGAAGTGAGCGTAGTGGGCACGAAACCAGACTGTCCCCCAGGCCTGAACCGGCCAGCTCAGACTCATGGGTGCCCGGAAGCATTTTATTAACCCCATTTGTGTGTCTACGCTTGTCTCTACAGAGTCAAATCGCCGCCAAAGAGAAGGAGAGAGAAGAGGCAAAGCTGGAGAAGAAAGCCTACGCCAAGAGTATGGAAGAGGCTATGAGGAAGCTGGATGAGGAAATTAATGCAGAGAAGAAGAAACTAATGGATGAATTCACAATCTGGAAAGCAAACGTCTTTTTGCCTGAAATAGAGGAGAAAGCGATTTGTGCGAATCGGGCAGAAAGGGAGAAACGCATGATAGCAGACAACGTGACAGTTAGGATCTCGGTAAGTTGTGTGGTTGACTGGCTAGTTCCTTTTGCCTTTTGAGCAAAATGTTAAAAAGTCGATTAGATGATATGCCACACACCCTCTGAAAAGTAGAAGGATATGGATTTTGCTAAGCATGGTGATGATGAGAGTGATTATTATGGCAGGACTGACTTGTAGGGCCTCAAAAATACCGTCGGCTTATAATGAAAAACTATTTTCTACTGTTCAGCAGCCCAACTTTCCGTTTTTCTTCGACTTCAGTGACCTCGCCCAAAGTTAGCGAACACCACTCCCCCCAACTTACACGCGCTCGCCATTGGTCCAGTAGGGGCATTTTTTAAATATCATCACTAACCCCCCACTGGACCAACGGTGGGGGGGTGTTCGCTGACCTTGGGCGAGGTCACTGAGCTACACCTTTTAATATCATCATTAACCCTACTGGACCAACGGCGAGCGCGGCGGAAAAAAATGGGAAGTCGGGCTACGGAACAGTAGAAAGTAGTTTTTCATTATAAGTCAGTCCTGCCATTGTTATTAGCATTATTTACGAAACAATCAGAGTACTGTAAAGTTAAAGGGGCTTTGTAGTTTTATGAGTTTAATGAAGTTACGCCATTTGAGAAAGTTTGACTGATAGGACGGCCATAACATGCTAACTGGCCGTCGCAAAATCCTCACTATTAACAATCTGACGCGCTGGAAGCTGTCCGTGGCTGGGACGGTTGTTAACTGACGAGAAAAGGCAGGCCGCGCGGTCAGCTCACTGTGTGTTTTGTGGAGTGGCCAAGTAGCGGATTGGCAGTCAGGCTGCGATGGCTCCTTCTTAATGTGGCTTTTATGGCACTCCACTCAGCTGTGATGGCATGCTCGGAGGGCAGTTTGGGCAGCGCTAGCCAGTTGCGCCCTCCCGTCTCTGGTCTTCTTGACTTAGCCGTGACACGAGGCCTATGTGACTGCGAGGAACAGAGGGTGAGGTAGATGCATCGCAAGTGTACCTTCCCTAAAACCCAACGCAAGCTACCGTCTCGGCTGTAGAGCACACGGTCGACAGTCATTATCCTCGGGGGGTGACTTCTCTTGGGCAGGGATGCAGCATGAAAACACTTTGTTCTTCCCAGCTATTATAGACAAACAGACCGATTTAGCGACCTCGTTCACCCGCGACACCATAGACTGTAGATCGCCAGAACTTGAAGCTAGTAAAGCGATATCATTAGCATAGTCGAGATCAGTCAACCTGTGTTCTGGTGTAAACTAAATACCGTCATCTTCACGTAGGGCATTCTCGAGGATCCAGTCAATGGCGTTGCCAAGTCACAGGGAGGGGAGCTTTGGGTTAAGTTTATCGCAGGGGGTTAAGTCAGTCTAACCGTGCAACTGCGATCTTCAGACCATGGTTACTTAGTG